TGTGTGTGTGTGTGTGTGAGAGAGAGAGAGAGAGAGAGAGAGTGTGAGAGTACATCCAGTGAACAGAGCTACATCAAAGCCCCTTAGATTACAGCATAAAGAGGGCACTGGTGATATGCTTTACCATTCCTTTTGCAAATTTAACTTGATATACTGAAACCTGACAGTTTTATGTTTAGACTGACAGGAAGACTGGAAGGAAGTGGCCTGTCAAGTCTGCTGCCCTGCAGGGCAAGACGAGAACTGAAGGGGGCATGCAGTTCAAACAGCCCGAGGGTAAAATCTAAATGCCATGCAATGAAAGCATTGCAGTTACGGGAAAACATCTCCAAAAACATCAACACCCTAAACACCGACACTAGCACTGTGAAGGAAAGACAGTAAAAAAAAAAAACGAAAGGCTCCACTCAGCAGCAGATGAGCAGACCAAGAAATCCTTCCCCAACTCCCAGCCTCAGTATTTTAACAGTACTCACTGGTTTTGTTGATCTATGCTTAGGCAGACAGACTCACAAAAGAACCATTTACATTTTACCTTACATCACAGGAAATGGACTGATTTTAGCAGGCTATGTCAGACCTCAGTCAAACGCATATTTGTACTATTTAAGGCCATTTTGGGCCTGCCATATCAACACTTTTTTTTCTATATTTCAAGCCTGTGTTGCTGCCCAATGTCTGACCTTTGGCCTGAGGGCCAACAGACACTGCCAAGGTAAAGAACAGAGTAACATGCACAGCCACGGCCCTAATACACAGCCAGCAAAGCTAACAGGCACGGCCTGTATGTATAAGGGTAACTCTGCTCTTTATCCTGGCTGTGGGTTTTTGCCCATAGAAATGATACACAAAGATATGAATACAAATATGCGTGCGTGTATGTGTGTGTTGTTGATGAAGTGTAACTCACAAATTTGTTTATAGTTTATCCTTTAGCATATAGAGGTAGTGGCCAAATGTAATGTATAAAAAATTAAAACTACTGAGCTCATCACTAGAAGATAAGTATTTGATTATTTTTTTTTTGTATTTTGTGGTATTTGAAATGCCTTGCAAGATTGATATCAATTCAAATACAACATGAGTAATAGTGTAAAAGCAATTCAAAAAGACAACACAAACATCAGAAGCTACTGACAGAACTGCTGGCTAGTTTGAAACGGTTACAGCCCCCTCCAAATTAGCAGAGGCCTGGGAAGGTGAGGTTCCCCCACTGTACCCGAAATGTTGGGGACGCATTTAATATGCAAGAAAAACCATAATGTTATATTTTATTCGCAATGCAGCAGTGCCGGCCTGCAACAGGAGATTCAAAGCGGACCATTTCCCTCCATGGTTTTGAGAACCACCGTCTCTAGAGGCACAAATGAGTGGGTGAGCCAGTGATTGTGCCCATGGAGATAGTGTGTGGAAATCAAGCTGATTGGACCACTATACACAAATACACAGCCTTCGATGTGAAGGGGAAATCCCACGTTCGGCACTTACAGAATCACTGTGCGGCAAACGACAAGGACAAGAAAAAAATGTGTCTAGAGAAGGGTCCACTGCCTTTTTGTTTGACCAGTGAGGTCAGCCTCACTTAGACAATTGCCCTACATATAAATTGGCTGAATGCATGCACAACAGCATCAGAGAACAACAAGATGGCGATGTCAGGTAGAGCCTTGGCTCACGCGTCCTTCACCTGAGAAGTGCCTCTGCACACACCTGCTAAAGGGAAACAGCTGCCTTCACACGTCACTGGAGCATGAAAGGAAGTGAATAGGCTCCTCTACATGAAAACAACAGCCAAGGCCACCGGGACGTTTGCTTTGACACAAAACAAAGCATGTATAAATATCCTTTTCTCCAAACGGACTCCAAAACAGCAAGCGGAGAAATATACACAAAAGCAGGAGCAACAGGCACGGAACTGTCATTGGTCAAAGGCAACACAAAACAGGGCACTGATCTCGTAATAGAAGAGGACCGAGACGCAAGTGGAAATGCGAACAACTCAGAAAACTAAATGAGACTATACAATAATTGAGGGGCTCAGAACAGCCCCCAAAGCACAGCGATCCAGCAGATAAAGCGGTCTGCCTGCCCTGACTCCACCACGCGAACACTTCTCTCCTCTGTTCTCCGACTTTCCTGCTCACTCTCCACACTCACACGTCGCCTAGCAACCAGACACTTCAGCACTAAAAATAAGCTCCAGAAACATACAGAAAAATAAATATAATAATTAATCCTTTCAAACCCCGAGCAAGGACTGAAATAGACCTGGTGACAGTATGGGGGGGGGGACAGCAACAGGTTGTGTTGCTTTCTTCTCCATGGAGTATTCTCCCTTTCCAGTCTACGCCATGCAGTTGATCTTCTCTGCAAACTTCTCCTTATGGACAAGGCGCACTAACAAAGACATGCTGCAGACACTACACTCTGGGACGTTTGACCCAAATACAAAAATAAAAAAAAAGAGACAGTGCAAAAAATAATAGGAAACACATGCAGGTCACCCTACATGCTGTAGCAGCTAAGAGACTCCAGGCTGAGATTCCAGGCATTCCTGGACATTGAAAAGGTGCAGAACAATTCAGCACGTTTGCGTTAAAGGGCTCGCTGTCTCCAAGGAAGTGGATGAGAACAGTGAGAGGCCCAGAGGCAGACACAGACACAGGAGACTGCCGTCAAATGACATTCTGCCACAATGAGGACATCGCTATCATCTAAACTTTGCAAGCTTTTCACTTACTTCTTGGCTGGGTGTGCCTTGCAGAAAAAACGGCCATTATGGCATGCACTTTTACATACCTTAATAATCTTTGCACCCCAAAGTAGTACTCACAGTTTGTCAGTCTGTTTAGGCTTATTAGATATAGCTGCCTGGTGCACAAAAAGGCAACTGTCAAATGGAATGTTGACTACTAAATACGGCTTAATTAAAACATCAAACAAAATCACAATAAATAAGCACAACGATAACAGGAAACGTAACAGGACTTGCAGTTAAAAAACAAACCAGAACAACTTAAGCCAAACCAATTCAGCTAAGTGGCATGCCTTCTAGTGGACATTGAAAAATGCATTCCTCCTTTTCTCATAACACTAAAGTACTGCCAAACATCACAGCTGTACAGCTGCACAATACACTGATATCAATGACCGTTTAATAATGTGATATGAACATGATAAAACTTGTGACTGCACGTAGGCTTTACTGATCAGGCAGAAGAGTAAATCAAAACTATTTCAGAGATTCTCCAAAACTTAGTAACTGAGCTGCAGACATGAACTACAACTAGAAAAACTAGTTCCCAGACAGATAATATAAAATTAGGCATAGATCAGATAGAATATCAGTTCTTGGCCACTGGAAAAATCAAATGCATTTTCAAAGGTGAAGAGTCTCCCACAGATTTAAAGTGGGTGGCTAGAAAAATGTCCAAAAAATTGGACTGGGCTATCCATCTCTATATCTAATCTCACCTGAATTGTGGTAATATGTTCAATCAATCGATGATGATGAATCAAGTTTATTTTACATTTAAGCAGACAGAATATAAAAGTAACATCCTGCAACTCAAGCATAAAGCATATCATACCAGCCTCCTACAGCACATGGGATTACGAAAACACCTACGCTGTGCACTTACACCCTGCACACTTACACCCAGCAGAACACAGGGGCTGATACACACTACATGCCCTGTGTGCAGCTCTGCACTGTGCACTTACACCCTGCACACTTACACCCAGCAGAACACAGGGGCTGATACACACTACATGCCCTGTGTGCAGCTCTGCAGATGCGCAAATGATAAGTTTTCATGACCTGAAAAATATCAGGCAGCACAACCAAAAAATTACAACTTTACACTTTCTCAAAATAAAAAGTAGCTTCATAAGGCAGCCTAATCATTTTAGTGTGTACAATGCATGAGACATCTTTAATTCTTTAATCTGTTTTTTTGCATTTATAATTAGCAGTAATATTAATTGCGGTTGCGCCATCTGACTAAGTTTATTTCCATATTTTTACTCCACAATGGTATTTAAGATCTTCATTATGATGTAACATCCTGTCTACTGCTTTCCAAAATGACTTTAAAACAAAAACCTCCTCCAAAACCCAATTATGTCCAATTTATTTTTTTAATGACCAATTTTATAAGTTTTCTTATTTGTTTAGATGGTTGTACCACCTGACATTTTTGGACTACAATAATGTTAACGTTAAAAAATAATTTACTGAGACACAAAATATGTATGACATGTGCCCACCTTGGCCTGCTGAAGCTAATTAGACTTTTCTGATCTTCATTTCACAAAATCTTAGTGACACATGGAGCAAGAAAAAGGGATGCCAGTCACGACAAGAAT